GGGTTGGGGGTGCGGGGGCAACACCCTGCGGTTTGGTACAGGGATAATTTAAGTGATTACATATTTTACTATAAGGTTACATATATATCATGTCTGTAACCCTAGGGAAGTTGAATCTTGTATTTTTAAATATTGAAAGAAAGTCGTCGCTCTGCTCCTGATGACGTATGCATCTTTGTCGGACCTCGTTAATTCTCTGTGTTCTTATGGATTTGTGTTGATTCTGATTTTTCATCGCCTTAATTTCTCAACAAGTGGTATCAGAGCGAGGTTCGATGGCAGGGAAGAAAAATTTAGGCGCAGGAATAAAGAAGATTTTAACATAGGATATTGGCGGTTAAAGAAGGATTTTGTCAAGCTTCGCGACAATTCGAATTTTAGTGCAGAGGATGTTTGAAGACGAAGAGGGTTTCGGACGGTTTGGCAGGAACACGAAGGCTTTGCCGCGAAGGCTTCAAGTGAGACACCAGGCGCACGCGGACAGTAGGAGTTCGGCGAAGCTTCGAAGGAGTTGACATAGGAAGGCGTCGACAAGATCGTCAGAGGCGCAGGAAGGCGTCGGCGAGATCGACAGAGGAATCACGGCGTTCACGATCGCGACAGAGGAATCGCGGCTTCAGCTTCGGCGATTCGGACGGGCTTCGGTTCGACGAGAGGTTTCGGTGTCAGGCGAAGCCGCTACAGGCAAAAAAGGAAGGTTCGACGTCAGCCTGGAGCGGAGGCGGAAATTGGAGGCTCCGGGAGGCTCTGATTTCATTCCTTTGCTGGAGGCGGAATAAAATTGGAAGGAAATCAAGTTTCAATTTTATTGCGGAGAAGAAAATTGGAAGAAAAATCAAGTTCCAATTTTATTCCCTTGCGGGAGGCGGAGAAGAAAATTGAAAAGAAATAAGTTCTGATTTTATTCCTTTGCTGTGGGAAGAAATTTGGAAGGGATATTTTTCATATTTCTCTAGAGGCAATAAAAGAAATTTTCTCCTATTAACCCGAAAAATCTTGTTGCACGCGGAGATTTTCCAGGACGCAGGAAATGCAAGGAAAAGAAATCTGCTATTGCACTCAAGAAAAGAAAGATTTTTTTCTGAATGGATAGCGGAGGCGGAGTTTTTCTGGAAGAAAAGCAAAAATGGATCTTTTCTGGAAGGAAAAAAGAGCTTTTCTGGAAAACAGAGACGTGGCTTTTTTGGAAGTATAAGGAAAATAATTTTTTGAAAAGTTTAATTAAGAAAAATTTAATTAAGTGAAAGTTCTTTTTCTGGGAAACTTAATTAAGAGATCTTAATTAAGAGATTATTTAAAAGTATTTGTGGCCCAACCCACATTGGTGCATAAGAAACTCCATGATATAAGAGGTTGGATATTCGCGAAGGTGGACATTTGTTATGCATATGTATTTCTCCTAAAGGGCTGAATATTCGTCAAGGTGGAGATTTGTTAGGCATATGTATTTCTCATAAGGGGTTAGATATTCGTCAAGTTGGAGATTTGTTGGGTATATGTATTTCTCCTGAGGTGGATATTCGTCAAAGTGAAAATTTGTAAGGTATGACTCATATACCATAAATGGGACAGATGCTGGAGCGGAGCGGAGCCCACGAGCGGAGTAAAGCGGAAGGATCTGTCCAATCGGGGGAGTTTCATTATGTGGGTTGGGGGTGCGTGGGGCAACACCCCGCGGTTTGGTATAGGGGTAATTTAAGTAATTACATATAGTATTCCAGGATTTTATAGGATTATAAATAGATATATATGTAACCCTAGGTCTTATCCCATATTTTGTATTTTGTAACCTCTTTTCTGAATATTAAAGAAAACCACCGCTCTGCTCCCGAGGACGTAGGCATCTTTGCCGAACCTCGTTAAATCTTTGTGTGTTCTTCTGAATTTGTGTCGATTCCCGTTTTTCTTCGCTCTAATTTCTCAACATATTTATATATATACCACAACAACTGGTATATCACGCAACACTACCAAATTCAAAATTGGCTCTTTCCCACCTAAACGAGTCTTCCATTTCCTACACTCAACAGACATTAAGACTAAACCCCTCACATTCACTTGAGCAAAAAAATATTATCATTGGAGACGGGCAATGGCAGAAGAATTCAATGCCTTACACAGTTAAGGCACCTAAATCTTAGTTCCAACAACACTCAATCAACCCGTTCTTAAAACAAATGGACATACAGGAGCAAACGTCACCCTGATAGTTTGATTGCTCATTATAAAGCTAACAAAGATACCAATAGGAATATGAAAGCCATTACACAGAAACATTTAGTCTGGTTGTTAAACTACCAACTATAAGGATTCCACTTGTAATTTCTCTCCATCATCAATGGCCCGTAATTCACATGGATGTCTCGAACGCATACCTTAATGAAAATCATCAAGAAATGCTCTAATTGCATCAACCACATGGCCACCTGGACTCTCAATACCCACATAATGTTTGTCTACTAAAAAGTCCAGTTATTGCCTCAAATAAGCTCTACACAATGGTTCAACATATTTACCGGTCCCTTAGTTTAATTTGTCTTCAAATGAAGTCAAACCAATCCCTCACTTCTCATTTACCATAACAACTCTACATCCATTAATCTTCTACTCTATGTAGATGACATTATCTTGATAGAAAACAACCCCCAATTCATTCAACAACTTCTAGAAGATCTGCGGCAAAAGTATTCCAAGAAAGGTTTCTATCTTACCCAAGCTCGTTATGCTTCTGATATTCTTACCAGAAGAAGGAATGGCTGACTGTAAACTTCTCTTAAATCCCTTGTCACCACTCAAAAACACCACCCAAGATCTCAACAACCATTTGCAAATCCCTCACTATACATACATCTAGTGGAATCGCTTCAATACCTCACCATAAAGAGACTTGACATAGACTTTGTTGTCAATACTCTCTCCCAACAGCTACATAATCCTCTCTGCATAAATTTTTAACAGCTAAAATGACTTCTTAGATACATTAAAGGCACCCCGGCCTCTGGTCCTCCAATTCAATCCGACCCAATTATTCTTCACAGCTACTCACACTCCAGTTGTGCCAGTGATTCTTTGGACCGCCGCTCCACTAAAAATTACTGCTCGTATCTAGGCAACAATGTCATATCCTAGCACGTTAAGAAGCAGCTCACGGTAGCTCGCTAAACTATGAAATCAGAATACCAAACCTTATCCTTTGCAGCCACTGATGTAATTTGGCTTCAAAATCTCCTACAAAAATTTCAGGTTTCAGTTCAATAGTCCACAATAATTCATCGTGACGACACCTCTGCCATGGCCATTGTTGAATAAACCAGACCACCGAACACCAAGAAAAATGCCGAAGAACTCCTGCAGGTTACAGTTCAAAGCTACAGGCCGAATACCTCTTCTTGCTGGCCAAGAATCCTGCTGGCTGAAGTGCCAAACTCCTCCTTCTCTGCCAAATACCGTTTCTTTGCTGGCGAAGAATCCTGCTGGCTGAAGTTTCGATCAACTCCTTTCCTGCCGAATACCTTCAGCCCAAAAACCTGGACTGCCGAAGACCCTGCAGCCCAAGAACCTGGACTGCCGAAGAAACAACTGGACGGTCGAAGGACACCTACAGTGCTTAGGCTGTCTGGAAAACTGAAGAAACACCTACAGGCTTCAAATGAAAAATGAACTCCCTGGACTTCCGATTAACAGCTTATGTAGCCGAGGAGGGGTAAAACACAACAAGCAAGAAAACAGGAAAAAGAAAGAAAAAAAAAACTGCAGAAAAATAATACAACCCAAGAACACAAGAGAATTACATGGTTCAGTCCATAGGACCTATATCCAAGGAAGGGAATCAACAACAAATCTACTAAGACAATACAGAAGAAATTACAAGGCCTTTTACATCGAGGAATGAACACTCCTCTTGATCTCTCTCTCTCTCTCTCTCTCTCTCAATTACCTCGATAAAAGATCTCAAGCTTCTTCCCCTCAATTCTTGAAGTCTCTCCCATTCTTCTTCTAAAACTGATTTTCTTCTTCTTGGTTCGCTACAAGCCTTCCTAATTTATTTATAACAAAATGAGGCCTCTCACATGTAGACCCGGTTCACCAATTGAAAGTTTCCATAATATTTTAACAGCATTGATAGAATTACAAGTATGTTAGTTTGCTAATTGTGAGTCATTAGTTTGCTAATTGTGAGTCATTTATAACAGCTATAACACACAATTCGGTGTTTCACCCAAAAATAAAACATATCGACTATTATTTTATATAGGGAAGGATTCAAGTTACGGAAGTGGTCATAGTGTTGATCAACCTACTGACATTTTTACAAAGTCATTACCAACACCTAGGTTCCTTTCTCTCTGAGACAAACTGGCCCTTCAACAGGAAACCGTCAGCTTGAGGCTTATCATAACAACTCTCACTCACCTAGCAGCAAGGCATTTTCCACAACTACAAAGGGCAGCTGACAGGATCCTAACTAACCGCCACAGTTTTATTCTCCAGTCCATACCCCTGTAGCCGCCTATCTCTAGAATACTCTACTTGTACAATAAATAGCTACTATCTCTATCTACAGGTTAAGGTGATATAGTCAATCAAGTATTTCATATATGATTCAGCTCTGCCATCTTCCCTTCTGTATGCATCCTGCTGTATGGTTTTCCTTTATGCCTCTTTTCAATCATGTAAAGTCTGTTTCAGTATCGTCATGCTCTTATACATAACAATCATCTGGTATTCTACAACAAAATCACTTTCTCCAGACAAGTTCATACCTACTCATCCCAGCCATAATCATCTTTAGCAACCAAAAAATCCACTTAAAAACCAAGACGAAAGAAGCTGCAACAGAACACCCAAAATAATTCAACAAACAATCAAAAGATCCATAAAATCAAACCCGAAACAACAAAAGATCAAACGCATACACAATTTCTCACAAAACAAATCATCAACCCATGACCAATAACAGCTGAACCTCATAATAGCTACACCGTGGTAAGATGAAATACCTTCTTTAGCACAAGTGCGAGGCGCTTGCTATCGAGCTTGGGCATACCGCTGAGGGTCTCCCGTGCACAGCGAAACGCACGCCGCTGCAGCTCCCGCGGCATATCAGCGGCCCTAACCCGAATATTCTCCATATCCTTTAGATCATCTTCAACCCTCCCTCCATCACCGCAATCATCCCTTCCCTTCTCCAGCTCCTTCTTCTCCTCCTTCCCCCGAGTGGCGTCCCCCTTGAGCTTTGTCCTTTCTATGAGGGAGCTGAGGTGGCGGCTCCGCCGCTCAAGCTCCTCCGAAGCGCCATCCATCGCCGACTTCTCTCTCATATCGAGCCGACCTCGCCGGAACATCACCGCGCACAGTGGTTTGGGTTTGGGCTCGGCATATGCACCATCTCTCTGTCTCTCTCTCTCTCTCTCTCTCTCTCTCTCTCTCTCTCTCTCTCTCTCTCTCTCTCCCGGCGAGAGGAGGGGCGAAAGTTTGCAAAACAATGGAAGAGAAAACCATAGCAGCAGGGGCGACAACCTCAGTAATAATCCTATACACAGTCCGTACAAACATAACTTTTTAACCGGTTCAAATACATTCGATTTTTCAAATTTGTGTTCCAAATGCACAAATCTTAAGGTAAATACATGAGAAATTGAAAAGGATGGGACTTAGAGCTGGCCGGCTTACTTGAAATTTATAACGTTGTTGCATGGGATATTTCCATCGGCAACGTTCCCTTTTAAGCTTAGAATCCAAGTTCTAAGCTTAATTATGTATTAATTATCTCTTAACGGCACCATAATCTCTCTCGTTGGATAAGAAAATATGAAAATACACGTCGGTGTTCGGATGGATTTCGGCGCCCGAGTTTTGGCTAATGCCCACGCAGAAATATTGTTTTTGTTTTAAAATGTTTATCACACATCTAGTCTCTATATTTTTAAAAAATATCACCTTAAAAGTATTATTATTAATGCCTCACCGTCAAATTTTCACCGTCCGGCACGAATCTCGAAATAATATTTTAAGCAAGAAACATTCAAATATTAATAAAAAGTCATTCAGAGCTATGATTCAGCAAACTTATAGTCAAACTGGCTGGTTTGATAAGACGAACCTAATGATATAAAAACTAGCCCAATCCAAGTCAAATCAAGCCCAGATCAACTCATTGAACTAAATTTAGATGATTTCCGGACACATTTGGAAGGTCAAACAGTTGTCGAATATGACAAGTTTATACTTGCATCGAGCGTCTTGATAAAACAAATCTAACGAGCCTAAAATCACTCAATTCGGACATCGTTAAGGCACTCAAATGTCTATTAAATTTTGTTTGATTGTGGGAAACTCTCCGGACCGTCCCATCAAAATGTTTCTATTCCTGCATTAATGACATTTTGAATATTATAAATAGAGCCCCACCCCTCACATGAGGAGGGGGGCTTGAGGCTTCAGAGAGAACTGGAAGCTCTGAGAAGGAGCTGAAGTCCAATACCATCATAACCGTCGTCGACCACCGCCACCTGTTGTCCACACCCGTCAATTATCGTCAACCACCACCAACCAGATGTCGTCGGTCAACGTTATAACTTGGAAAATCTAGTAACATCTCTCGTCTGTAGGACAAGAGCTCACCACTACGATCAATGTGCTAACAACCTACACGGTCATCAGCTCATGTAGTTCTCGAGTTCGGCCCCAGCAACTTACGAACGTCATCAATACTCGCTCCAACGGCCTACGAGGTCATCAGATCATAAAGTTCTTGAATCTAGCACCAACGTCATCAATATCCGCCCCAACGACCTACGTGGTCATCAGTTCATATAGCTCCTGACTCCGGCTCTCGCGGTCTACGGACGTCATTAATACTCGACAACTACAATCTACGTGATTCACAGTTCCCGTAACTGCTTACTATGACTTCTATGGTCAATCAACATTTTTGGAGCAACCACCTACAACACTCACGATGGTCTACTACCTCCACAACAATCAACAATAACTCTTGCAACATGTTGTCACAAAGAACATCAACCAAATTATAGTTATACAACTTTGTAATTTCATCTTCTCTAATTGAGGAGAAAAATATACTTGTGTACTCATCATTCATAGTGGATTATTTCAACTGGGTATTTCAACTGGGCTAGACCCCGTGGTTTTTCCCCCTTTCAAGGGATTTCCACGTAAGAAGTTGAGATGTTTCCCTCTACTTACTTTTTTTTCTTTTCTTTTATCTGTGTGTGTTGAATTCTCGTGTAACGCTAAGTCGATGATTCATTACTCTAATACCGTGAATTTTCTAGCACGCATCAATTATAATTAATTTTTAAGAGTGAGTTATATATAAAAGAAAATATAATTTTAAAAAATATAATAGACTGAAAAAATTAAAAAGGGAGGAAAAAAGCTGTAATTTTTTATAAATATAAATGTAAAAACATTGTTAAAAAGATAATTTGTTTGAAAGCTAGACGGAGTTTTTATATATATCTTTTATATAAAAAAAAAAAAAGAAGATTTACATACAAACCACTCAATTCTTATGTATTTACATAGCTATCATCTAAACTTCTTTTTTTACATTTATGCCATGTTAGCTAACGCCTAATTCACTTTTTAAAAGTTAAAATTGTGATATTTTTTATGTGATTCGAAAGATTTTAGATAACAAAAATGTAAAAAAAATAAAAAATAAAAAATAAAAAAAATGGCTGTTATATTTATAAATACATGGGAATTAAGTGGTATGTATGTAAATTCCTCTTTAAAAAATGGACTAAAGTTTTTTTATAGCTACTATATTTTAACAGATTTGTTTGTGAAAAATATTTTTCTATTATAATTTTTTTAATAAATTAATAAGAAAATAGGAGCCAAATGAAGATGTGTTCTGGATCCAAAAGACAGAATTGTGAGAATATTGCTCTCAAATACACATTAAGGGTCCGTTTGGGGAAGCTTATTTGGTGCGGTGGCGTTTTGAAAACACACTTGGTTTGTTTGGGTAAACTGCGTTTTGGCAGCTTATGTGTTTTCAAAACGCTGAAAATAGAGTTTTCACACCACACCTATCTAGGTGCGGTGGGAATTTTCTGGCAGTGGTCTGACTTTTCCAAAAAAAATAAAAATTTGTAATTGTTATCGCACCTAACTTATCAGCAGATTATTTTCAATCAGCTTATCAACAGATTTTTCAATAAGCTACAACTGCCCAAAACAGACCATAAATCTTAGCATCATTTTGAGATTATTCTCAACTTCTTGATAATTTTTAGCCAATTTTTTTATCAAAATATGAAGCTATATGAGCTAAAATTGTAATCTCTCATAGGGGCAACCCAACCTAAATAACTAACCCAACCCGGACGATCAACCCAACCCAAAAGAGTGACCCGGCCTAGCCGGATGACAAACCCAGTTCAGCTGACCGAGCTGAACATGTCAACCCGAAACCAATTAAGCTTAACCGACCGAGCCTGAAAGTAACCAGACAAAAATATGAAATATACATAAAATATCAGAAATATCATAGTTCATGCCCTTTTAAAACATGGGCAAAAATATATTATTATCGTTATATCTCTCCTCTATAAATAGAGCAATTATTTTATGAATATGATGCAAAGGATTACTAGTAATTCTCTCATTCTATTTATTTCTCTCTCTGTCTCAGCTGTGCTCTGTCCCTTTAGTGTGATTCACAAACAATTCAGAATTCAACAGGTCTAGTTATAAGTTTAAGTTATGTTGGATTTATAAAATCAAATCACACAGATCGCCTTATAAAATTGGGTCAATTAAACTTCTCTTGACTCGACCCGACATAAGGGGATTAATCATTCCAACTAGCACTCTAATGCATCAGAGATAGAAGCATGGTATCAACCCAATCGAAACGGTGGGTTTAGTCTCAAATGCATGCAAGCATGTTAAGCTAACAAGAAGCCTTACCAGCAAATAAAGCTGGCCGGTTCAATTTGACCAGTTACAATGGTTAAGGGAGTTTAAGTGAGGACTAGGAGATACACAAATAGTCATAGTCTTTATCTAATTTAAAATCTTATAGCTTCAATTTATAAGTTCTTGTTTCTCATTTTATTCATAAAAAATGCAAAAATAATTTAAGAATGACTCGTTATAAAGTTATTAATTAGGTAGGGAACATTTATACATAATATTAGGAGTAATGAAATTTCTTCACGTTCATGTGGATCACTTTGATCAAGTTAGAGGAGGTCATTGAAATGGTACTGCTCTTAAATGAATACTTCTCATAGAGAGATAATTTAATTTACTTTTGTAATACTTCTCATTAAGTGACTATTAAATAATTTTGTTTTAATTGAAATAATCTTAATCTTTCTCTAACAAGTTGAGATATGAATCTAGCTTATGAATCATGTTCCTGCTCATTGTCCCTCAAGTGAGTCAAGCTTAAGCTCAGCGTATGAGGTTGACTCAAGCTTGACATTAAGCTCAAGCTTGCCTCTTGGTAAACAAGCCAAACTCAAGTTGTCATTGACTCGAGCTCAGCTCAACTCTCAAACACCCTTATTTATTTGTAGAAAAAATTACTTGATTATAAACCAATTTAAACTTAATTTTGTGTTGATTTTAGAATAAAATGTGTTGAAATCCAATAGAAGGAGAGCTAAAGAGTTTTATAACATAGTAGTAGTGTCTTTACCAATTGGTTTAAGCTAGACAGTATCCATCATGTCTTTTAGAATAAGCATTGACCCATGTATTGCCCCATGGTCTTCTAAACTACTAGCAAATGCAACATAGCTAAATGGTTCTAATGGGATTCAACAATTCTTGTGATTTTTTCCTTCCATGGATATCTGGGGCTTCTAATATTGTTGAGTAAATATTCATGAGCCGGTGAGCACTTCGCACATAAATTTTGAATCTCTTTAGTTGTCAGAAATGCGAAAAAGGTGTTGACACTACAATATTGAGTAGTTTTAGTTATGTTTATAATTTTTAGTGTAGTTTTGATAAAAATTTGTCTGCTGCGTTGAACCATATTGAGAATTAGTTATGTTATCTGATTGATATCGTTAGGAACAACTTATCTGTTGTGGTGGCGTTTTTACCCGCCGTTTGAAAACTGCGTTTGAGCAGCTTATTCGAA